CTTAGATGCGTTACGCATTTGGTGTTTCGAAGATTCCATTGCGTGTGGTGCAAAAAGTTTAGTAGAACAATAAAACATTAAACATGCTACACCAAAAACATTATAAAAATACTTCTTTAAAATATTATAATGCATTAAATCAAAGTTTCCGAGGAATAATTGTGTTTGCGTACCAGTTATAACGTCCAACTCAAGGACGTTACTAATTTGAGGACCGTATCTAAACACTTGACCGCCGATTCCAGCGTTTGACAGCGTTCCTCCGACGCTGACATGCAAATAATCTGTCCAAGTAACCGGCAAAACGCCTTTCTTCGCTGTCTTTTTCATCACATCCACCCATAACGCCCCCGCCCCCACGTCAGCATACTTCTTGTCTTTTGAGACCACCACGTCAGCAAGACACGTCATGTTGACGATTACTCCGCCGGAGACTGAGGCTTGGCCGTCTAAAGAGTGGCCTTGGCCCCGAGCCGCCACTTGGAATATCCTGTCTCCTTCTGCAGCGTAGCGGATGAGACGGGATATCTCGGCGGTGGAGGAGGGGCAGAGAACGCCGCCGGGAGTCACGGTGGTGATGTTTCCGTAATCGTGAGAGGCGGCGGAGATGGTGGAGGGATCGGTGAGGAGGGTGAGGTTGAGAGATTTGGGTAAAACAAGTTTAATGTCGTCCTTTGATGATTTGGTTAAGCTCGGAAATAAACAAATCAAAACCGTGATNAGAAGAAGATTAATATCCATTTCTTTTTGTATTTCTCTCTTATTGGAAGATAAAAGAAGGGGAATTGTGATGAAAGGATTTGTTATCANAATTAANTAGTAATATTAATTTGTCAGTTATTCATGTGATTAGAAATAGTTTGGTTTGAACGTGAGGAAGATTTAGCCATAAATATATAAGGAAAAATATGGCAATAAATACAATGTTAAATTTGGAAGTCAAATCAAATTTAAAGTCTTGAATTAAAACTTGGACGACAAATTAGGCAGTATTTGGATACTATGATATAT